ATTTTCCTCACTCTTAATGTTCAAGGTGAGTAAAAGGTTTCTGCAGTAGAAATGGGCTCTAAATGTCCCGCTCAGCTTGGGGACCCTTATAGGATCTCTTAGAATTAACCAGAAGGCCTCAAAATCACTCTGGTTTATGAATTCTTGCGTGTTTATTATCCGATAATTAGTCTGTTAGTCATAAACAGAGAAAGTATGTGAAAACCTTTCATGTGTCAGACAGTGAAGTGGTGTTTAAATGTGAACAGGATTGTTAAGGTTGTGCAGCTGCTGTGAGAAATCCTGACCTGCTGTCAGTGTCATGGTGGCTGTTAGCTTAGTGATAGATCCCCGGCTGTGAGGTTCCCTGCAGTATTTGGTGCAACAAAGCTGTAAACCCTGGGAAATAACCGCCTGCGTTTGGCCACACACTCACAATATCGGAGAGATTTAAAGGTCATCTTAAGCTTTGTCATTTGAGCAAGATCTAAATTGAAACATGGCTGATAAAAGCTAAAGAATCCGTTTATTTCTTATTGCTTTAATCTAAAGGTAAAGTCTGTTCCCAGCCACAGCTGTGCACCTGAGCTTTATCTTTGGGGAGTTTCTGGGTGGAGATTTCTTGGTTCGAGGAATTTATGCTGGAAGTCAAACTTTAACCTTGGTTTCAAAGGAATGTCCAGTTAGGTTTTTTTTTTTTCCCTCAATATCGTTTTGCCCTAAGGGAATGTGGAATCCTTGCATTCTGTATTCTGTTTCCTGGTCTTTAAACCTCTCCCTGACACTCAAATACATTTATAAGATTTTCCCCTTTCAGTTAGCAAAGAAAACCTTCGTTTCAAGGGGTCATAGAATGATTCTATAGGGTATTTGGTTTCTGGTCCTTTAGTTCTCTGAATAGGGTGTGTAACATTGGTTGGGCTGAAAATGGCATATTTGCTGTTCTATGAGCCCTAATTCAAGTCTTATTATAAGCCCCAGAATGAAACGGCAGGTTCTCTTCCTTTTATGGTATGATCATGAATATTTAGATGAGCTGATTGGTTGGTTTACAACGAGTGAAGCTGCTGAGCAAAGACTCATCATAGCAACAAGCACTCACTCACTGAAACATCAAATTGTTGATATGGTAGGGTGACCAGACGTCCTCTTTTTCCCGAACATGTCCTACTTTTCATA